ATAAATAAATAATATATATATATATATATATATATATATATATATATATTAATAGTCCTAAAAACTGGCTTCAATTTCTTATTTCACCCCAAATATTGAAGAAAAGAAACATCACATGTGCTAATGACAAGTTTCATGAAGTTCACCAAAATATATCTTAATTCAGAATTTCATTTGAAATGTGTGGTCATATATATCTGTATATAGATCAGTGGAATGTGTATTGTACATGTAATTTATTTGACTCTTAAACTGTAAGATGAAGTGTGCTTTGGTGTTATTCTTACTTTTGGAGGGAACACGCAGGTTGGCGAGGATGACGGCGAGCGAATCGGCCTGCACGCGGAGCACATAACTGGTCACACTCTCATAGTCCAGAAGTTTATTTGTGTAGATGATCCCAGTGCGGTTATTGACTGTGAACTCACCTGCAAACACAAACTGATCAGAGAACAGTTCACAGCGCCTCCAACACCAATGATGAGTCACTAGAAATCCACGGTTGCATCTTATTCACAAATCACCTGCAACTCAACCAGGAAAACAATGCGCTGGTTGGATCCAGTTGATTTAATGAATTCCTCCAGAGTAAAAACTCACCTCCTTCATTTCCACTCACTATGGAGTAAAAGACAGTGGTGTTGACGGCTGTGGCCAGAATTATTCCCACAGGCGTCCCGACAGGAGCGTTCTCACTCACCGGACTGAACCTGCAGATATAAACCAGAGCAAATGACAAACTTCATTCGGCATTAAACAACACACAGCCGAGTGCAGTGGAGAACGCTCAGTTCCAGCGCAGATACTGTGACATAAATGTCAGTTTCCTGTTGAATACTGTATAAACAATAGAGAAGTTCAATAGGCCCACCACCTCCACAAAAGACCTTTGCTTTAAGAGTTGAAAAGAGTTTAACTACTGTATCCAAAAGCAGCACACATAAATCAAGGGTCTAAAGAAAAATCTATTTTTACAGCTTTTGTCTACAACACGAGCTGACCTCTGAGGGCCAGCGATTCTCAACTGAAGGGTCAGAGGTCTGTTCTAATGAAAACAATGCTTAAAGCAAATAATAAAATGCTAAAAACTAGTTTGGTTAGAAAACTAACTACAACTTTTAAAGGGGAAGAAAAAACACTTTCTATATCTTTTGTTGTTGATGTCAAAGGCTGGAAATAAATCTGTCAAATTGATGCACATTCATGTTTCATTAGTTAGAAGATAGTTAATTACTGATGATAAATAATAATGCTGCCATGGACAGGATGCATGACATCCTTAAAAAGCATGAACAAAACAACATAAATTAAAGGAAAATATGATCCCAACTATGGGTTCCTATGCAACATTGTGAATTTGTTTTGTGTGGTAAATTATTTCCTGTTAAGAGCATGAAAGCATCAAAATTCAAGAGACACTTACCAAACAAACACTCAAACCATACACATTACTTTTCAAAGGTCTCTTATTCAGCAAGGATGCATTAAAAGTGACAAATGCTGTTCTTTCTGACTTTCTATTCACCTAAGAATCCTAAAAAATATTACACAAAAATATTAAGCAGCACAAATTTTTCAACATTGATAATAATAAGAAATGTTTTTAAGCAGCAAATCAACACATTGGAATGATTTCTGAAGGATCATGTGACACTGAAGACTGGAGAAATGATGCTGAAATTGAAACTCTGCCACCACAAAAATAAATTACATTTTTAAATGCATTCAAAGAGAAAACAGTAATTTTAAATTGTAATAATATTTCACAATATTAGTTTTTACTGTATTTTTGATCAAATAAATGCAGCCTTGGTGAGCAGTGTTGTGGAAAGCTACTTTTAAAAGTAATGCGTTACAATATTGTGTCACCCTTTATAGAAAGTAATGCATTGTGTTACTTTTACGTTACTTTTTGTCACCTGGGCTGGGCTTCCTTATTAGACAAAAACCCAAAGGTTATACTTTTAGCAACTGTAAAGGCCCTTTCACACCAAAAGTGAAATTGTGCCTCTGCACCTCACTCCCAATTTCTCTCAACACTGGGACAGGACAGCTGTCAGTCAATAAATGGGAAAACAAAGTAACTTGCGTTCCCTTTCAGTTGGTCACTCCGAGTCACGTCCAGCAGTGGTCGTTCCTGTGTCGAGTGGGTTGCGCACTTTAGGCTGCACTACCCCCTGTCGTGCTGCAAACGGCCGTTTTGTACTCGTCTGGCCTGTCCGGCGATGCTTATATGGCCTGTGGAGAAGCTGCCTCCACCTTACATCGCCTTACACGCTATGGCGTTACTGCAGGTTCATCAGACCAAGGCACTGAGGGACATGCACGAGGGTGGTCATGATCTGGAAGTTCTTAAAGAGCTCCGAACCGCTACTGACCTCGCGCTCCGAGCGACGAAGGTCACCACGAGTTCTATGGGTCGTGCGATGTCCACACTTGTGGTCCAGGAGCGCCATCTCTGGCTGTGTCTGGTTGATATGAGGGACGCCGACAAAGTTTGGTTCCTTAATGCCC